CAGGCTGGCCTCGAACTCACAGAGATCCACCTGCCTCTGCCTCCCAAGTGCTGGGATTAAAGGCGTGCGCCACCAACGCCCGGCAGTTTTGTGCCTTTCTAGGTTGGATGATGAACTCTCACCTTACACCTCCCGAGACAGAACAAATTCCTTTGTCTCGCGTTCCCCACTCTGTATCTCTCTCTCCGTCTGTCACTTAGTCTTGGTTATCAAATCGAGTATGTGGGATGGCAGTGCTTGTGTTAAAATAATGGCATTTAATAATGGCTCCCAAGTGCATGAGTAGTGCTGCCCACAGGTCACATGCGCTAAGACGGGCTGCAGTGTGTGCGCCCTTTAAGGGAAAAGGTGAGCTTTGCTGCCATGTCGAGGACCCTGGGCTGTATACGGCTGCAGGCATCCACTGTGGTCTTGGAATACATCCTGTAGATCAGATGGAGGGAAGAAATACTAGCGTTTGAATTGGGAGTTGTACTCACTCGTGGGAAGTCGGTTCCACTCTTAAGCAAGGTCTGTAAGAACAGCGTAGTGCAGTAGCTAAAGCTAAGGCCTCCAGGCACAAAGCACCCACTTTCCGTTTCAGCCAGGAGTGTAGCAGCTGTGTGACTTACACCAAAACTGTTTTATGACCCTGGAGTCCAGCACATACTCGGCAAGCACTCGGCCAGTGAGTCACAGCCTCAGCCCCGGGGTACGTGAGTCTCAGATTTTTCACTTAGTAGTGTATACTTGAAAGTAGATATTTAATATAATTATTTGAGGATGATATTGTCACATTTATATTTGCATGTCATCCTCGACATACAGCTTCCCAAATCCTGGAAACCCACAAGTGATAGTATCTTTATTTGTGCTGAGCAGTTGCGTGGTGGCCGGTGGCCTCTTGGAGATGAGGACTGGTCAGGTAAAAGTTCCTAGCAGAGTAGAGAACAGGCATTTTCAGTCCCAACTCACAGCCTCTGGTTAGGGAGATGAGCTGAGAAGTGAGCTGCTCGCCTAGTGCCAGAGATGTGATCACTGCATATGAGGCTTCCGTGACAATCAACTGGACATGCTGGAGAGCTGCTGGTTTCCAGAGGCGGAGCAGTAGGCATGGTACAGAATCTCCACACACTTCCTGTGCTTCACCCAGTGCACGTTTTCATTGGAATGTCTTTTATGGCAAACCAGTTAAGTGTGTTTCCCTGCTTCCTGAGATTTGCTCATCAAGCAAATTCATCACACAGAGGAACTTGAACCTCAGTTGGTCAGCTAGTCGGTCAGAGTTACAGGACTGAGCCATTACCCTGGGGGAACTGTATGCCTACTCCAAAAGTAATTGTTTCCTGGCTGGCCGGGAGAAACACTTTGGGGGCTACAAAAGCCTTTTATGTGGATAAATGTACGAGAGGAGGAGTGTGTGGGAATTTTTTCCAACAAAAATTTTAGCACAATGCCAATATGATAATAAATATTCATAGCTGTAAGGATAAAAAAACAAACAAACGCTGGGTGGTGGTGACGCACACCTTTGATCCCAGCACTTGGGAGGCAGAGCCAGGTCGATCTCTGTGAGTTCAAGGCCAGCCTGGTCTACAGAGCAAAAATCAGAACAAGTAGATTGGCACAGTGACTTGTGTGCTAGAACCATTCTCATAAGTCATGTCTTTAATTACCCCCCTTATAAATTGATGACAAATTGACTAGCCATTTTATTCATTGTTTTATTTACAATCACATAGGCAGAATCTTTAAACTAAAAAAAATCATAAAACTAAAGATTTGCTTTTAAAAACAATTTTGCTTTTAACCTAAAAAATGAGTAATAAAATCAAAGTACAGCTCTAAAAAACATTTATCAAATGTAGTAGTCAATAATTTAATATAATTTACTTGTCAAGTTGCCCCATAGAGTGTTCCTTTTTTCTCACTAATTCTTTTTTGAGGTCTCATTTTATTACTCTAATAATCATTGAGTCTTAAATGCAGCAGCTCCCCCCGTCCCCCGCTTTTGTTGGGTTTGATTTCAATGTCTTGTCAACTTCTTACTAGTCCACTGCTTTTATCTTTGGTGACTTGTTCTGATAGCAGCCATGTAAAAATGGACCTGTTTCTTGGACAGTACATCAGAATCTGGCCCCATCAGAGCTCTAAAATTAAACATCCAGCCACATCAAGAGACTTGGCTGACTTCTGATGTCCCAACTCCACACTTTCAGACAAGAATATCTGATTGTCTTGACTTAAGTCAGATCCACTCCTGGTCCAGTAAGTTGTGGATGACGATTTCAGAGGGAAGAGAACCTTCAACACAGAAGCAGCACTTGCCTGCTTCTTGTTTCCCTTTCCTTTGGGGGCCAGGAGAGAGGTGGGTTTTAGACAGGGCCTTACTATGTAACCTAGGCTGCCCGGAATTCAATCCTCCTGCCTCAGCCTCCCGAATGCTGGGGTTACAGGTGTGTGCTACTGTTCCTGACTTACTTAGTGCTTCTCAGTTTTCCATTGGGAGCAGATTTCTAAATACCAAGGAGCAAAAACAACTGCAAGGAATCTAAGAGGCTATGTGGAAGGCTAGTGTCGCCTCAGTCATTTATGTGAGGACAGATTATACTTAGTAAATAATCTCCTGTTAAATGAGAACTTTCTCAAGGATTATGTAAAAGGGCAAACTAACCTAAAGAGATTGCCAGTCCAATATGAACTAGTAGATTATGAACTGTGCCTCCAAACCTGACTTTTGCTTTTAGGTATGAAAGACATGCATTCATCTTAGATGTCAGCAGAAATTTATTTTTGATCATTCTGTTTTCTCTTGAACTTGAGGAAATGAAAGGAAAATACATGAAAACTGCTGACTGAAAATTACTAATATTTTTATTACCCTTGTATGGGTATACATACCAGAATATTTCCTACAAATTACACTTGGCCCAATAGGCCTTAACAAACAAACAGCTGGGCAGTGGTGGCACACACCTTTTTTCCCAGCACTTGGGAGGCAGGCAGGTGGATTTCTATGAGTTCAACCAGCCTGGTCTGCAAAGTGAGTTCCAGGACAGTCAGTTCTACACAGAGAAACACTCTCCAAAAACAAAAAAACCCAAACAAAAAAGCACCCAGGGCAGGCCTTATAGATGCTAGGCAAATGTTACCAGCATTTTCAATTAGGCTGTCTATGAGCTCGAGCTTAGGGTCTAACTGATGAAGGTTAAGAGCACTAGAGCCAGGAAATCTGGATTCTGACTCGCCTTCAAAATTCAAGTCCCCTCCTGGAGCCTTGGTGTCCTTAATACAGCTAGTGTTCTGCCAAGTGTGGTAGCTCACACTTGAAACTGGCACTCAGGAAACTAGTGCAGGAGGATTGCTGCACGGTTGAAACCTGCCTGGGCCACCTATATAGTGACTTCTAGGTCACCTTGAGCAACAGGGTAAGACCCTATCTCAAAACAGTGGGGGGGGGGGCGGGAGGAAGGGGTAGTGGGGGCAAATGTGCTAGTGTTCCCTAATGTCCCTTCCAGACAAAGAATTCAGTCTCTAAACTACTTTCTCAAAATCAGCAGGGCTACTGTGGTATGTTACATTCTTCTCCATTCTGCAAAACACTGGAGAGGCTTCGCCAAGAACAGATGTATGTAAGGCACCATTGAGTAGTCTTAGATTTCTGAAGACGGTTACAGAAGAGGCCGGTCGTAGATGTAGTTGAGACCTGAGGAAACAAAAGAAATAAAGGAATATTTAATTCTAATTTTTTGTTATTTTTATAATTTAAAAAAAGGTTGTTTTCATTTTACATTCCAATCCCAGTTCCCTCTCCTTCCCCCATCCACTCCTCAGAGAGGGTAAGGCCTTTCTTGGGGAGTCAACCAAGTCTGCCATACTAAGTTGAGGCAGGACCAAGCCCCTCCCCCCTGAGTTAAGGCTGAGCAAGGTGTCCCACCCTAGGGAATGTGTTCTAAAAAGCCATTTCATGCACCTGGAATAAGTCCTGGTCCCACTACCAGGGGCTCCCCAAACAGATCTAGCCATAACTGTCACCCACGTTCAGAGGGCTTAATTTGGTCCCATGCATGTTCTCCAGCTGACAGGCCAGAGTCCATGAGCTCCCACCACCAGCATGATCAACCCTAATTTTTGAAGAGAGAAAATACTATGCTTTAACCTCAAGGCCAACTATATACTTAACTTGTGGTAACAGATATTAATCTTGATAACCAAGGAATATAAAAATAGCCTAGGGGCTGAATATGGCACAGTGGTTAAAAGCACTGGATGCTCTTCCAAAGGACCCGGGTTCGATACCCAGCACCCATCTGGCAGTTCACAACCATCTGTAACTCCAGTTTCAGTAGGATCTGGTGCCCTCAGAGGGCACAGACATACATTCAGGGAAACACTCACATAAATAAATAAATCTTTTTTTAAAAAGGCCTAATTTTTATTACATAAGAATGCAGTAAATATTCACCAAGCAAATGTTTATTAAGCACCAGGTACTCCAAACAACCACATATTGTTGCTGCAGATAGTATTTTATGTGTGGTAAAGATATATCAGACATGGTTGCCTTTTTCAATAAGCTTATGGGCTGGAAAATGATGGGAAACCAGACACATGAGAATAAACCCACGTAGTATGTGATGTACTGCAGTCCATAGATGGGGCTGCATGAACTCATCAAGATAGTATAGAAGGCAGTATGTAGAAAGGTGGATTTGGTACAGAAGGCTGTAACATGAATTGCTAAATGGTCTTATTAACGAAAAACCCAGAGCCAGATATTGGAGTAAAAGCTGAAAGATCAGAGAGGCAGAGCAGCCAGCCACTAGTTCTTACCCCTAAGAGATCCTCCACTGGAAGAGAGCGAGCTCCTCTCTCCACCCGGCCTTATCACTTCCTCCAGTATTTTCTACCAAAATCAGTCTCAAATGTGTATCAATATACATAATTTGTATACAATATACAAAAATTCAATCCCATGTAAAATATTTAAAATTGGTAGTTGTCTTTTCAGAGTAGATTCCAATAATCTACCTTTTTATCTTATCAGAAGGCAGTATGTAGAAAGGTGGATTTTACTACAGAAGGCGGTGTGGAGAAAGGTGGATTCATGACTTGGTTGGGAAGTACAGCATATTGGCCAGAAGGTGTAGTAAGCTGGGGAAACTCTTCATCACAGAACTGAAGGGGAGGAACATTGTGGAAAAGGCATTCTAAGGAGTAACATGTTTAACTGAAAAGAAAATGGGAGAGAATTTAAGACACTGCTTTGGAAAGCATACAGCTAGGCTGCCGTGGAGTAGAGTAGCAGCAATAAGTGGTCGTCTAGTTTGATTATTGGTTTGTTTCTAGTCTGTGTGATGATTATAGTCTAGATGGAATGTTTTCCCAAAGGCTCTTGTGTTAAAGTCTTCGTGACCAGTGGATGGGCTTGTCAGAAGGAGGAGTTTGACCTCACAGGACATTGCTGGAGATGGTGGAAAGTAGGAGATGGACTAAACTGGAGGAAGCAGGTTACTGGGGACCATGGCCTGGAAAGATGTTTCTTGCTCCTTGCTGCTTCCAACTGCAGAGAAGAGAGCCATCCTGTCCCACTGCCCCCTCACTGGGATGTTCTGCCTCACACAGACCATGATGGCGGGGCCAAAGAAGAACAAACAGAGCTCAGCCAGACCACTCAGCCTCTGAGAACCTCAGGTTTATCTCCCATCAAAGGACATAGAAAGATCTTATGTATATCGATTTTTTTATAAGATGAAGATGAAATAGTGATTCTGCAAAAATAGTACATTATTATTTTCTATGATGTTTTTGTTTTCTTTCGTTTTCGAAACAGGGTCTCACTATTATGTCCTGGAACTCACTGTGTAGCCCAGGCTGGCCTTGAACTCACAGAGATCCACCTGCCTCTGCTTCCTAAGTGCTGGGATTAAAGGCGTGCGCCACTATGCCTCACTCATTTCTCTGTTTTTTAAAAGCAAGTTCTGCAAACTCTCATTTCTTATGCTGGTGTTACCCTAACCTTCAGGTTTGAGGGCTCAGCCCTGCATGGAGCTTATAACTATCTTGGACTTGATATCAGCCTCAGATTTTTTTTTCCTGAGAGTCTTGCTTCTAACCAAGGCTGACTGGAACTTACTCTGTAGACTTGGCTGGCCTCAAACCTGTGGCAGTCAGTATTCCTGCCTCTGCTCCCTAAGTGCTGGCATTAGGTTTACAGCCATGTACTACCACATTCAGGTCAGCCCCAGATTTCAAAAATCCAATGTTCTCTTACATGAAAGACCAGGGAGTTTTAGGGGAACACAAATTTGACATACATTAACTGTAATTTTCACAAAAGTTGATACTGTATTCACTCCAATAACTGAAAGAGCATTTAGGACTTCAATTGTCCTATTTTATGTGTAAGTCATAGGACCAAATCCAAAATGCTAGTTTTCACTTGCTGGTATCTAGTAATTTCATATGAAGTGACTGGAAACCGTGTCATGAAAAAGAACGAAGAGAAATGAAGACATTTTGACTGTAGAGAGGTAAAGCTTGAAAGCTTCTCCTGTAGGCCCTGGGTTCTCTTCTGAGTTTCTGAATGGGAGAAGGACATGGCAGAATAATTTTTCAAATGAAATTTGACTCAGTGATTTTTCAGTAGGATGCTGTCAGTATGAAGGAGAGAATTCAGACGATGTTACTGTGTTTGTACCAGTAACCCAGAGTTGCCTTCACCAAGAGCAAGAGATGCCAGGAAAGAACGGGCGTTCGGAATAGGAAGTTAGCCAAGGATGTCACCTCAGGAACTCAGATCAGTGTTTTATAGCATAAGATACCAAATGGCAGACAGAAGGTGGACGCAAGAAGGTGGCAGAGTGACAAACAGCAAAGGAATATGTCAGATAAGAAAATGTCATTATAGAGAAAGGAAAAGGATCCCAAGCTCCTAACAGTCTGACGAAAGTTTTTGAGGTAATGTATAAGAGTTCAGATTTGCTGCCTATCCCAGTTGGGCCTCTTTTCCTGTGATGATAAAACACTGACCAAGAGCAACTGGGGTGGAAAGTTTATTTCAGCTTACAGCCTGCGGTCCATCCTTGAGGGACGTCAGGCCAGAAACTCAAGCAGGAACCTGAAGGCAAGAACTCAAACAGAGGGGGCTGGTGAGGTAGCTGAGAGGTGAAGAGCACTGGCTGCTCTTCCAGAGGTCCTGAGTTCAATTCCCAGCAACCACATGGTGGCTCACAACCATCGGTAATGAGATCTGGTGCTTTCTTCTGGCCTGCAGGGATACACGCAGGCTGAACACTGTATACATGAGAAAGGAAGAAAGAACTCAAGCAGAGACCATGAAAGAATACTGCTTAATGGCTCACTCCTCGGGGCTTGCTCATCCTGCTTTCTTATGCCACCCAGGACCACCTGCCTGGGGATGGCACCACCAGGAGTGGGCCGGGCCCTCCCACATCCATCATCAATCAAGAAAATGCCCCATAGACTTGTCTATAATCTGATGGAGTCAATTGCTCAATTAAGGCTTTCTCAGATGACTCTAGCTTGTGTCAAGCTAGCAAAAAAAAAAAAAAAATCTAACCAGCACAATTGATTCCTTGTCAATCTGACACACAAATACATCTCTATTAAACTGTAACCGGTCTTGTTTATTCCCAAGATCTCATGTTACTATAACAGTACAAAATGCTGTATAACTTGAAAAGCCCCATCACCTTAAAAATTCAATTTACAAGTTCAGTCTAAAAATTCAACATCACGGGCTGGAGAGATGGCTCAGAGGTTAAGAGCACTGACTGCTCTTCCAGAGGTCCTGAGTTCAATTCCCAGCAACCACATGGTGGCTCACAACC